GGCCTCCTCGCAGGCTTCAAAGTGGCAGGAATTGCAGCTGCACTTGGTGGTGGGGTGTTGGGCTTCACAGGTGGAAAATTGATACAAAGAAGGAAACAGAAAATGATGGAGAAGCTCACTTCCAGCTGTCCAGATCTCCCTAGCCAAGGTGACAAAAAATGCAGTTAAAGCCCAAGCTTCCAACTGGTGCCAATGCATCCATCCTAAGGAGCGAGCACCTTGCTGCTGTTGGATGCTCAGCTGTTGGAACAGTGTCAGGAAGAGGCTCTCCATGTCCATGTAATGTTGAACCACCAGTACTGGATGTGTCTGTTTGCTGGCTGTTATGGAGATGTTAGGAGGGGGAGGATCCTGGGCTGAGAGTGTGTGATGTCTGTCAAGTCCAGTTTAAAGACTGCCAAAGAGCAAATGTTCTGCCTGGAAATGTGAAAACTGAACCTATAAGTCTAAAGATGTAAGATGAGTAGAAATGCATCGGGCACATGAGGGTCTATGTATTTGTAGATGATTTCCTCCTATAGAGATGGACAGAAGGTGAGCTGAGGAGTCTTCTGTCTGGTAGGGATGTTGTCACCTAACAAGGGGCACAGGTGAGCTACTTCTGTACTTGGGGGCTGGTTGTACTTGGACCATCTATATTTTCTGGTGAAGGAAACCAATACTATAAAGTGGAAAGAGAAGGCCACTTTCTCTTTACAGCCTCTTCATTGTGACATGAGTCTTTTCTGAAGTCTCCCCTGCCTCTCTACTAAGGAGCACAAAATCTATGTGCTGGAGCTACTAGCCCAGATGCCAAGCCCACTTGAAGCTGGTAATTCTGAAGGCTCTGCTTCTAGGGGGCATTCTACCCGTGTTGTGAGGATTTTTCTCATAATCTGCCCTTTTGTATCATTTTCCATCTCTAGTTGTCCCAAACCTGTCATCTCTTAAGTTAAAAAAAAGAAAATTTAAATATTTCAACATTTTTGGGCCAAATGGAGTACAAGATCATATCATGGGGCACTTTAGGGGCTGACATACCTGCCTCAAAGGGTCTGGGCCCCTCCGTCTTCTTGGGGAGTTGAGAAGAAGCTTTCTACCTCACTTCTGTTACTGCTGCCCTTTCCTAGGCTGTCTCCTGTCCTTCAGTTTCACTGCCGCTGTCCCTCACAGTGTTCACACTTAACTTCTCTCATGTTCTAGATGGCCAAGGACAAGATTCAGACCCGATGAAAGATCTGTGGTGTTAACCCAATAGTTGACATGGACAGCAGGCATGGTCCAGTCCAGCTCCATGTCTGCCTCAAACAAAAAGATTTGTAACTTAGAGAAAAGGAATTTAAGATGTCAGGCAGCCTTACTCTGCATCCTTACACATTTGAACCACCATGTGGTTGCTGAGAATTGAACTCAGGATATTTGGAAGAGCAGCCAGTGCTCTTAACCTATGAGTCATCATTCCAGCCCATTCTAACACGTTTGAAATAAGAAGAAGCCACTGGTGGCCTCATTCTTTCTGAGGAGAAAGCACGGTCAACCAGAGTGTGGGTTCAAGGATGGAAAGGTTTATGATTTAGCTTCTTTTAAGAGCTGTGTTGATGTTTGACCTCTACTGATCACTTAACACCACTCCCTTCCCCCTGCCTCCCCCATGTCACAAGACCCTTCCTTCCATGCTTTGAGTCTTACTGATGCATTCCTATGAAACAAAGCACTACATCGTATTAAACTATTGGGAAGTATCAAGTTTTTGTTATCTGCTGACTTTAGACATTAATACCCCCCCGAAAAAAGGTACTTTTAGTAAGTGTTGGATTCTGAATCATTGTCTGACACTGGAAATCAAGTATTTGGAGTATTACTTTTAACTTCATCCTTTGCTCTGTTTCTTGATGTTCAAGTTGGGTATGTCAAACCTGAGCAGGAGGCAGAACTCATCCAGATTCTTTTTTAATTTTGTTTTGTTTTTCAAGATGGTTTCTCCTATGTAGCCCTGGCTGTCCTGGAACTCACTCTGTAGACCAGGTCGGCCTTGAACTCAGAGTCCACCTGCCTCTGCCTTGGAGCACTGGGATCAAAGATGTGTGCCACCACCACCTGACTAAAACAAGATTCTTGAACCTCCATCATGGGTAATTCTGATACAGCCAGTCCAGCCTGCTTGGCTGGAATTATAAGAATAGGCAATGTTGTTTGATTGTTTAATCTGTGTTCTACTTCATCTTCCTCATTGCTTAGTTCTCATTCTGCCAATCCCAAAAAGGCCACTAATTCAGTGTGCCATAATAGCCACAGCCCAAAGGATTTAAAAGAACTGCTATGAAGCTTGTATTCGAAATTCACATCTTCTGGATTTTGCATTTTTACTGAGCCACTGTGGGAACTGTTGACATGCTCATGAACTGTCAGTATTGGGTTTTTGACTTTACCCATCTAAATGCTTAAGGAAGTTAGTGTTCTTTAAAATTTTATGCTTTAAAGTTACTTAGAAAGGGTACCTCATTTCCCCACAATAGAAGCAAATAGCCAACTTTTGTGGAAATTGCTTGGAGGTGTTTAATCAACTATAAATGATATAAAGTACTTAAAAGTATAAATTTTTAGTCAATATGACACAGAAGTGATCTTAAAATTGAACTTAATATGCCCCATAGTGTCAAGTTAAATTTATCTTCTCTATGATTCATGTATTATTTTTATTTCAACCAGTTAAAAAGGACCACTTTAATTAAGGTCATAAAATTTGTAGAGATTCATTTCAGTAATGGCAGGACTTTTTTTTATTTTTATTAGTTCAAATTAGGAGCAAGCTTGCTTCAGATGTCAATCCCTTCTCCCTCTCCTTCTCCTCCCCCCCAACATCCCACCTGTCCCTAGCCATCCCCCCTCCACTCCCCAGGCAGGGTAAGGCCCACAAAAGGGGCTCCCCAAAGTTCCCAAAGATTTTTTTATGTTAAAGTCTGAGAACTTCTCTGAAAATTTGGTATAACCCACAGTGAAACATGTATTAAAATTGAATATATATGATAAATGTTTATCATTATGTGATTATGTGTAATAAATTTTGATGTTTTGTTTTCAACATACTAATTTCAACCACTCTCAGTCTACAAATAGATTGCCACCCTCAGTTTTCAGAAAATACCTTTTCCTAGAGAAGAACTGGTGCTTCCCAAGCAATTAGCTAGGCATTTATGGAGAGGGTAACTGGGCCTCAGAGGAATTAAGTGATATGCAGAGTCATTCAATTCCAAAGGAGGAAGTGGAGATGGGACTGAGTATGTTGGTGCTCATTCTCTCTCAGATATGCTGTGCTGCCTCTCCCGAAGCCTGAGACAGACTGTAAGGCCAGCTTCGAACAACCCATACTGTTCATTTCCTTCTTTTCTTCTGCTACCTCATCAGTATCCACAGCCTGCTCTTAATTTTGGCCATGGCAGAACACAGCACTGCACAGTTCCTCAAGTATAAAATGAAGAGCACCACTCTTCTGCCCCACCCTCTACACATTGGTTTATATCATAGGTTGTGATCATTGTTTAAAGTGTTTTATAAAATTAAAGATAAACAGTAGTACCTCTAAAAACAGATCTCTCATAGCTTTTAAAATCAATTAAACATTACCCTTTAAATGATGCTTCTTGGAAGACATGCACACATGGTCCTGTGCTGGTAACACTTAGGCTATTTCTGAATGTCTGCTTTTGGGTTTGCCACCAAAGAATAGCACATCAAATAAAAAAAGCCACAGGCTGTTTTCCCATACCTTTGTGACCCTGCTGTCTTCCCATCTCAAATTTGTGTCTTTTGTTGCCTTAATTGTCCTACCTCACACACAGAAGCCAGGGACCTAACATGCCTAGAAAGTGAGCATGCTGAAGCTGCCTAGAAGTGGCCATACTTCCGGAGCAAGGACTAGGGTTGGTTACTATGAAACTTCTGCATGGCCACAAATGTCCTTTTGCCTGTCTGCCTCTCATGTTCTATTTCCTGCAGCATGAGAACAGGGTGCTGATAACACCTACTGTTCACACGAAGTTTTGAGACTGAACTACAGATACTGAACACACAGCATTTCCTTTCAATAAAGCCCAGAAGCCAAACCACCCTTTGAGTTGTTAGTAAGCAAAGGCATTTCTGAGAATAGCCCCCAGAAACCCTTCACTGATAGATAGCACATGGACTCTGGGAAAGCCTGGGCCAAGGTCATCCTTGCCCATGCAATGCTTTCTCGACAGACTAGAGTGTGGCTGTGCTGCTCAAGTGCTTACAGGTATCTGATGACATTCCCAAGTAGTTGGAGGTTTGTCGGGGCAAGGGTGCTTCCTTTCTGATCCAGTCATAAAACAGTCAGATTGTTTGTGTGCGGAGTTTTGTTGTTTTTGTTTTCTGAAGTAAGGTTTTACTGGTAGCCCAGGCTGGCTTTGAATTTGCAGTCCTTCCCCTGCCATCACCCAAGCGCTGGAATTGTAAGCATTCAACTCTGTTTTACAACTGTTATTAACTCTTGTGTTTCTAGAAAATGGTTCTATTTGGGTTCATCAGTTTGACACCCTTTCACTAAAAAACTTATTGAGTGTTCTAATAGTAAAAGAGTTATGTATCCACATTACTACCTTCAAAAAAATTAGTTTGTGACAAAAATACATCTGTGCAATATTAACCAAATATGTTGAAATAAAAACATAAGAAGTGCTAAAGGCAAATGACTTGCTCAAGATCACAAAAGCTACTTTGTGTAAGATCTGGAGTGTGGGGGAAATCCTTCGTGTGTTACTAAGTTTTTGCTGTGCCATGTCAAGTTACCTGCTGAAGATTGGGTCTCAGTACAATTTCAGTGGTTCGAATCAGGCAAAATGGAAAGGAATGTTATTAGGGGAAATTAGATACAATTCCTTAACCTTCCAAACTGTCAGTCTCACCACTTGTGCCTTTGTAGCCAAAGCACAAGGATCCCACTTTAACAGCAAGAGGAATTCCATCAGCTCCTATCAGCTCCTTGCACAATTTGCTTGAGCAAGACATTCAGTAGTTTGCTTTTTGCACACATTTCTCATTTGTTTGAGATTTCCCTCTTAATGTTAATTACTAAATTGTGTTACTTAGGTTTCATTAACTAAACCCCGTAAAGGAGTTTTCCCCATTATTGAACTATAGGTGTTGGCAAGGTAAGGACAAGGAAAGGCAAGAATTTCTGCAAAATTAAGTTCTTCCTAAATTGACTTGTCATTTATTATATTGCTGAATGGTGCTTGATTAAGGATATATGCAATAAAATTCACCCATTTAACAAACATTAAGCTGATTTCCTGTTGTGTGTTGAATGATAGTGTCATGTACAGAAAGCTAGACCTGTAGACTATGACAGTGAGCCTTTAAGTTACCTAAAGTGGGTATGTCACACCAAAGCATGCTAAGTCACATGAAGAGGTTGGACAAAGTAGTATAGGTCTCAATGGAAATGAATAGGGAGTCTTTGTAGAGTTCAGGGTTTGAACAGTAGGTAAGGAAGAATATTCCTGATGGAAGAGGGGCTGTGTTTCAAGTGAGTGAGGAATTCCATGAAACAAAATAACAAGGGAAAAAGTCAGAGTTAATAACAAGAAAACATGGAATTGAATGTATGACTTAACAGCGAAGCTGGTTGGCGGAAACAGATGAGAGTGGCTATATATATTTAAAATATAGTAATTCTTTGTTTACTCTAGAACAGTGGTTCTCAACCTTCCTAATGTGATGAGCCCCAACCATAAAATTTTCATTGCTATTTCATAACTGATTTTGCTACTGTTATGAATTGTAATATAAACATCTGTTTTCTGAAGGACCTAGGTGGCCCCTGTGAAAGGGTCCCCTTAGTTGCCATAAATGTTCTTCATACTGGCAGAAGCTTTTGGTACATTTATTGTAGTTGCCTTCCTTCCTCACCTCTCATTTGTGAGATTCCCCCTGCTCAATACTGAATGCTTACTTTGTGATGATTACTCATTCCATAAACATTTATTGGAAACCCACAGAGAAAAGCTATGGAATTTATCTCTTAGTGCCCAAGACCTCCAGTCTAGTTTGCCATGGTCATATTTCCTGGCAGATGCTTTCATCTGTGAGTTTTTTCAGAGTTGAAATTTTCTCTTTAGTGGGTGGTAGTAGGATCTCTCTGATTAGACTGGAAAATTCATTTGGGATGTGAACATACATTTGCATCTCCAAATATACATACATACATACATACATACATACATACATACATACATACGGCATGCAATACAGTGTTGAGAAGAGAAAAATTGAGTGGCAAGGCCATTGCATTTGAGTCCTAACTTTGGAGGTGTGTAATAGAATGTTCAATAGCCAGGACATAGCTAATCTGTGTATAGTGCCTACTTTTGCCATTAAGAGGGATGCAAGGTAAAGACATTTCTCTGTCAGATTAAAAGTTCTGATCAAGAAGAAAGATCCTGGATCTCCATCACAGCAGAAGTTCCATGCGAGTTGGTGTTTGTTTTTTATATCTATTTATAGTTGGATTGTGAGATTAGTAGGGGTCTACATTAGCTACTTTCCTTGAAACAGGTTTATTTTGCCCAGTTTCAGGAGCTTGAGGCAGCTGTTGGCATTGTACCTGCAGCTGGGAAGTGATGACTGCTGGCGCTTAGTGCTCTCCTTTTTATATGGTCCGGGACCATGGGATGGTCCAGCCCAGATTAACCTCATCTAGAAACTCCCTCACAGACAGGTCCAGAGGCTTGATTCTATATGTCTCTGGTGACTCTAGATCTTGTCAACTTGATGGTATTAATCATCACAGGGCCTAAGAGATTTACAATTGCACAGACTAGTATTGAAATAGGAGATAGCTGAAGGAGAGCAAAGACTTTGTTGGGCAAGCAGAGAATGAAATTAGGCTGAAATAAGGCTGAAGTTAAGGCTGACAGGATTTGAACCCAGATTTTTGATGCTAAATGTCATACACTTACCCCACCAAACAGCCTCTCTTGATAGGAATGGAAAGTGACACTATAGTTGCCTTTTCTCTGTGAGTCTTACTCATTAAAGACTACTGCCACTGGGTAGGGTGGGGTCAACAGCTCAAGACATTCTTACAGACCTTTCCTTTGATACCTCCTTGCCTATGACACAGGGTAACCTTAAGTGTTAAAATAATTATGTATGTTAAATGCCCAGAATGGTGGTTGATTCAGACTATTAGTGACCACAGTTACAGCATTTACTATAATTTTCTCCAGTGTAGTGGTTTGAGTGAGAATGACCCTCATAGACTCATAGGGAGTATGGAGGTGTGGCCATGTTAGTGGAGGGTGGGTTTTGAGGTTTCAGAAGGTCAAGCCAGTCCCAGTGTCTCTTTTCTTGCTGTCCACTGATCCGGATGTAGAGCTCTCGGCTACTTCTCCAGCATCATGTTTGCTTGTCCCCACCATTCTGCCATGACAGTAATACACTAAACCTCTGAACTGTAAGTCAGCCCCCATTTTTTTTTTTTTTTCTCTCGAGACTGGATTTCTCTGTGTGGCTTTGGAGCCTATCCTGGCACTCGCTCTGGAGACCAGGCTGGCCTAGAACTCAGAGATCCGCCTGCCTCTGCCTCCCGAGTGCTGGGATTAAAGGTGTGCACCACCAACACCCGGCAAGTCAGCTCCAATTAAATGTTTCCCTTTATAAGAGTTGCTGTGGTCATGGTGTCCCTTCAACAGCAATGAAACCCATGTGCATTAATGTTAAAGTATGGCGTACTTATAAGAATAGTGAAAGCAATATTGGGTGACACTAAAATGAGCAGAGATGAGAAAATAGTTGAATTTTAAGACTAAGTTGATATAACTCTCTCCTCTAGACAAATGTTATGCATACTGAAAATTTTTATTTTAGTCTACAAAGTAGCAGGTTTCCTTACAGCATTTCCACACATACTTGGTTTTGGTTGGCATTCCCCCACACCCTCCTCTCCCATCTCCCTGCCCGCATTTCAGTGTAAACCCTTCCACTCCTGGTATTACCCTTCTGCACTCCTTTCCCTTAAGGGAGCACATACACACACACACACACACACACACACACACACACACACACACACACACACACACACACGGTTCCACTCCTAGTTTCCTGGCCTCTGCCCACACTCACTCTCTCACAAATACACATATATAAAAACTAGATGCTTCATGTGAGAGAATGTTTGTACTTCCAAACCTGGGTTACCTCACTTAATAAAAAAATTCTCCCATTTTCCTGCAAAATAGAGAATTTCATTTTTCTTTACAGCTGGATAAAATTCCATTGTACTTATGTACCCATTTTAATTACCCATTCATGTGTTGATGGGCATCTAAGCTGATTCATTTCCTTGCTACGGTGAACAAAGAAGCAACCAACATGGAGAACCAAGTATCTGTGAAGTACAATACATTGGCCTTTGGGCACATATCTAGTAGTATAGCAGGACTAAATGGTAGTTCTACTTTTAGCCCTTTGAGGAATGGCTGCACCAGTTTACTCTCCCCACTAACACCTAATAAGGGTTCCTCTATCCATACATCTTTGCCAGCATCTGTCCTTTGTTCTTCTGATGGGTGAGTTGCAATCTCAGTTGCAAACTCAAAAAACATTTGTGTTTCCCTGAAAGCTGAATGCTAAGTCATTTGTATTTCTCCTCAGAATTCCATGGTCTCCTTAGCCCATTTTCGTTTGACTTAGCGTTTCTGACATGGCCTGTCTTAAATCAGAACATCAGGCTCATTATGATGCCCCCCTTTCCCTGTGCCATCAGTGATGCCACGTTTGGCTTTCCTTCCTGGGTAGTAATTAGAGCAAGAAAAAGCCCCAATCATCTTCCAAAATGAGTTTATTCCTACCTAAGTTTACCAAAGGGCACCAAGAGTAGACATAAACTTCCTCTGTTGCAGCTGTCATTAAATACACAGCGTCTATCACAAAAGGGCTAGTGGGTGATCTTTGATACAAATGGTTGAGTTTGGAGAAACAATGGGTCAGTAAATACCAGTAAGAAACAGTAACAACAAACTCTGATAATACCAACTTCCCTGGAGAAGAGGACCCTAACATGGGTAGAAGTGTGGCTTTTAGTGTGCCTAGTATAAGGTGGTTCTGTTTTCTGTGGCTCAGATCATGGCAGGTATGTGCAATTGTAGCCACCTTTTTACTATTTTGTCTCTCCATTCAAATTTTAGCTTCATAATGGGAGGAGGGCAGTTTATTAAATGCTGAATCTTTAGCCTGGAAATAGCAGTTCATAAACCTATGGTTTATCATGGCAGTTTTGTCAACTAACTCATTGCCTAAAAGATGGTTGACTAAACTGGAGTCAGATCTGACTTACAGAAAATGTGGAGTTAGGAGAAAATTCCCAGTACCCGAGACCGTTGCCAAGACAGCAACCATTCTATTTGATAGTTACATTTCTCTAGTTTGGTGGACACTGTGAACCTTTATTTTTTTTTGGCAGCCTTTGGAGCTCGAAGCTGGCTTAGCAGGTAGGACTAAAGGTGACAGATTCATTTGTAGGATTCATTTGCAATTGACAAATCATAACTGAGATACAGAGATTTGTTATCAGAATCCATTCCAATTTCTTGTTCTTGACACCTTTGTTTGCTTGCTTGTTCTGTACTTCAGCTTTTCTGTTTCCCATCAGAGATCTGAGTTCTTCTAGTGTATCCAGTGGCTGGAATAGAAAGATGGTTCTCCTACTTTCCTTATAAGCACAACCAAACCAGCATGGGGAGAAAAAGAGTTTAATTTTAGCTTATAGTTTATAGTCCATTATGAAGGGAACCTGAGGCAGGAACTGAATCAGAAGCAATGAAGGTGCTTACTAGCTTGCTTTCTTCTACAGGACCACCTACAGGACCACCTGCCCAAGGGTGGTATCACCCACAGGGGGCCGGACCCTCCCATGTCAATTATTAATCAAGAAAGCTCCACAGGCTTGCCTACATGCCAATCTGATAGAGGCATTTCCTCACTTGAGGTTCCTCTTCCCAGATGACTCTAACTTGTGTAAACAGACTACCAGGACAAGATGACACTTGTCCTACACATAAACTAGGTAGACTTTGCTAGACAAGGTGTGTGTGTGTGTGTGTGTGTGTGTGTGTGTGTGAGAGAGAGAGAGAGAGAGAGAGAGAGAGAGAGAGAGAGAGAAAACCAGCACTATTCCTGGGTCTTCCATGGTCTAAGGAGAGTTCTACCTTCCCAGTGTTCATGATAGTACTGGTCACATCAGTTGAAGGCTAGGTTTCAGTTATCTGTACATGA